TCATGACCTTGGAGGTGTCTACGGACAACGCTGGCTCTTTGGCTTTGACGTGGAGATGAGCACCAACCTCCAGAGTTGGACACGACTAGACGTAATGTCAAGGGAAAACCTTTAAGGTTACCTAAAGACTATCTATCTATCTATCTATCTATCTATCTATCTATCTATCCACATAATAAAAGTGAAAATGTGTGTATGTGTGTATGTTCCAAGTACTATGAAGCCTCCAAAGGCACTCCTACTTGGCACACAGAACCCTCATGACTATCAAAAAATACTGGAGGTCTTTGGGGAGAATTCACCTTAATTTGGGGGAGTTGTAGTTCACCTACATCCAGAGAGCATTGTGAACACAAAAGCCGATGGATCTGGACCAAGCTTGGCACGCATACATCATACACTCACATTTATTTACTGGAGGGGTTTGGGAGGAATTGATCTTGAGTTTTGAGAGTTGACCCCTACCAGCGATGGACCTGAATCAAACTTGGCACACAGAACCACCATTGGCAACTAAATATACTGGAGGAGTTTGAGGGGAACTGACCATCATTTTTGGGAGTTCTAGTTCACCTACATCTGGAGGAACAGTGACCAACACAGACAATAAACTAGACTTAGCACATGGAACCGCCATGACTAACTCAACCTACTGGAAAAAGTTTGCAGGGACTAACTCATCATATTGGGAGTTGTAGTTTACCCTCCAGCCAGAGACCACACTGAACCCCAATGACGATGCATCCAGTGCAAACTTACCCAACATAACAAACCTTAAGTATGGATGGAGTTTCAGGTGGTTAACCTGGCATGATGGGAGTTGTAGTTCACCCACAACCTTATGCATTTGGTACAATTACAAAGCTGACTTTTTGCAATAACCAAGATAGTATCTGTAAGTATGTGTATGTATGTATGTGTACACACACATATACACACACACATGCATACATACATACATACATATACATACTATCTGGGGTATCTCCCGTTGCCCATGTTACATATATATATATATACATATATACATACACACACATATAATTACACTATATAACAACATTTTTGTTCCTGGGTTATAAATGCTTTCCTTCCTCTCTTTTGTCAGTATCGATACATTTTATTCCAGTTTATATCAAATTTTTATATATGAAATATTATAAAAAATAACTAATATTTAACATCAACATTATAATTCAATTTTAATGTTTAATATTATATATATATATATATATATATATATATATATATATATATATATAATGTTTTGAAGGGGCTAACAAAACTCAGAAATACTTAAATGCTGAAATGCAAACCAAAAGAGAGAGGCTTGCAGAAGACCAAAAGCTAAGAGGAGATAATGTATCTAGAAGACACAAGATGCTGTATTGTCAAGTACGCCTAGGGAGTACCTAGGGTGGGTTAACACCCAAAATGCTTATCTGTAACAATAATGTGTGTATTGTCGAAGGCTTTCATGGCTGGAATCACTAGGTTCTTGTGGGTTTTTTCGGGCTATAGAGCCATGTTCTAGAGGCATTTCTCCTGACGTTTCGCCTGCATCTATGGCAAGCATCCTCAGAGGTTGTGAGGTCTGTTGGAAGTAGGAAAAATGGGTTTATATATCTGTGGAATGGCTGGGGTGGGGCAAGGAGCTCTTCCCTGCTGCAGTTAGGTGTGAATGTTTAGCTGATCACCTTCATTAGCATTTGAAGGCCTGCCTGAGCCTGGGAAAATCTGTTGCTGGGAGGTGTTAATCTGTGCCTGGTTTTTTCCTCTCTGTTGTTTAGCTGTTATAATTTTAGAGTTTTTTAATACTGGTAGCCAGATTTTGTTCATTTTCATGGTCTCTTCCTTTCTGTTGAAATTGTCCACATGCTTGTGGATTTCAATGGCTTCTCTGTGAGGTCTGACATGGTGGTTGTTCGTGTGGTCCAGCATTTCTGTGTTCTCAAATAATATGCTGTGGTTGATCCGATAAGAGAGGTGTGTGCCCATGACACAGTGAAAAGACATGTATATAAGGTGACTGAAAGATCCGAATAGGAGGGACAGCTTTTTTTGAAGACACTGGTCTGTCTTGGCTGTTTCTCCCTGTGTGGCCACACTTGAATAAAGATTTTTTGCTTCACCTACGGAGACTTCTTGCTTTCTGTCACCAGCCTTGGGGTGCCTAACTAAAGGGGTGCCCTTCAGTTTCATATCAAAATTCAATAGTATTTAATTGCAGGATTTGATAGCATTTAAAATCAATATTCATTTACTATAACGTATACACCCAACACAAAACATATTTAATATGAATTAAATCTATTAAATATTATTAAATAAATAGTCATCATGTTCAGTATAGTAGTAATTGTATATTAAACACTATCAAATAATGTCGTGATCATTAAATGATATTATTTAATGGCAAGATTCCTTAATAGCCTTTGATATAAATATTAAATACTAAATAATACTAAGTAAATAAACTAATAATAATGATAATAAACTAATAAGAATAAAGA